ACTAATCACATAGCTATTATTTATATCTAATTAAGTTATAATTAAACTTGATCAAAATTTGTACAAGAGAAATAAAGATATCATACAGGGTATTAAAACAAAGATGATATTAATCTAAATAATTAACTTATCAATTAAAATTTATATTAAGATATTTTTATTTCTTTTTTACAAAAACTATGTTAATTATTAATAATTAATTAAGAAAATATACTATATATATATAAATTATATTAATAAAATTATTGATAAAATGTGTTCATCAATTAGGCAAAAAGGATATATACACAAAAGATATAACCAAAAGAGTAGACAAAAGTAAAAAAAAAAAATACAAAATTAAAACAATTATTCAAAACAAACCCAAATTAACAAAAAATGTAAGAAAATACAAACAATTGAGTGTACATAAAACTCTAAATGTAAATACAAAATATATGCTATCAATGCATGATTATCTAAAAATGGGTAGGGGTGTCAATACGAGTTTTAACCCATGAGCCAACCGGCTCACCACGGGTTGAGTTCAATTTTTTTTATTTCTATTGATTATGGGCTAAAAATGAACCCGACTCACTTAATCCACGAGTTAAACGGATTCGAGTCGGGTTATGGTGGGTTGACTCGCAACCCACCATTAATTTTAAATTTCAAAAAATAATTATAATAATATACTAGCCCTAATTAATTATTTATTTTAAATTTTAAAAATAATTATAATACTTTAATAACTCTAATTGATGTTATCCTGCTTCAGTTCTACCCTATATTGTCACTGCCACCACAATCCAAACCCTCACTCAAGCTTGTTATTAGTTGTTCAGCTGCACTACTACGTTTGCCATTGTACTTGTTTGTCTTATCATTTGTCCACCGTGTCCATTGTACCGCTTCAAAGTTAAGAATTTCTACCATAACTTAAACGATTGAATTGATGAATCTTTATTTGAAAACTGTAATATCTATACATTATTTGTTGTTTGTTATTGATTTATACGTATATCTCTTTAATATATGAATCTTTATAATGTCATTGTGTTAAATCTTACAATGTAATATATATATATATATATATATATATATATATATATAATTTAAAAAATTAAAAAATATATATTATTTATAAAATAAGTAAAAATTGCAATAAATAATAAAAATATTACCAACGGATTTTGACCGTCGGTAATTTTAATATTTCTTGTAGTGGTTTGGTTTTATTGCAAGTTGTAATGAGAGCCCAATTGGAAATTTAGTCTTTGGGAGACCAAAATTGACAAAACTTTTTTTTTTATCTTAGTGAGTGTGATTTTCCTAAATTCTTGAGTGATTCAAGAACTCTTGGGTTGTAATCCTTTGTGAGTTGCCTTCCTTGGGAAGAGTGATTATTTCCTTCCACCTTATCATTAAATTCCTAAATTTCCTACAAGGTTTTAATCCTAAAGATCCTAAATCACCCCTTGTGCAATTGTGATTCATATCAGTTAGTATCAGAGCCCCGATTTAAAGGTTTGAACATCAAATTGATGGCAGAGGAGGATAAAAAGAAAATAAGAGAAAAATTTCTTCAAGAAAAGAGAGAAAAAAAAAGCGTTAGTGAAACACTTGAAGTGAGGGAGAACTATTTAGCCACAAAAAGTGAGTATAATGTTAGTTATATATTCAATTTGTCATACTTATCTCTTTTTTATGTAGATAACGAATCTGATTTGAAGATAAATCCTTTTCAAGAAGGAGAGAATGATGTGAACATGGCCTATAACAAGGACTAGAGCAAGGGAAACAAAGGAAGCTCGTATTGTTGGTTGACCAAATTGTGTTTTGGATTAATCAATTAATGAACTTTAGTTTGGTTGTATTGCAAGTTGTAATAAGGACCAAATTGAAAATTTAGTCATCAGTCTTTGGGAGATCAAGAGGGTGCATAACTCATTGACTTTTGGTTGCCACAATTTCAGTTACAATCAGCCATTAAGTAGTTTTCAATTCCTAGGTCAATAAATCATTATTAACGTTTATTTTCCTTTAGTGAATCTTTATAACTCTGATGACAAAACTTCTTTATAAGCTGAACCATTTTTATCAGAAATAACAAGTGAAATTTTATTAAGAAATATTAGAGTTTATCTTTTTTATCTTAGTGAGAGTGATTCTCCTAAATTCTTGAGTGATTCAAGAACCTTGGGCTGTATCAAAAGACTTTCACATCCTTTGTGAGTTGTCTTCCTTGGGAAGAGTGATTCTTTCTTTCCACCTTATCATTAAATTCCTAAATTTCCTACAAGATTCTAACCCTCAAGATCATAAATCACCCCTTGTGCAATTGTGATTCATATCATAAGGGGTATGAATGGAGTGGGACTCTACTCTCGATTAGAGGTGTCAATATGGGTTATAACTCGTGAGTCAACCCGGCTCACTATGAGTTTGAGCCGAGTTGGGTTCGATTTTTTCCATTTCTGCCGATAATGGGTTAAAAATGAACCTGGCTCACTTAACCCATGGGTTAAGCGGGTTCGAGTCGGGGTTATGGTGGGTTAACCCATAAACCACCATTCATTTTAAATTTTAAAAATAATTAATAATAATTTAGTAAATTTAATTGATTTTTTTCTCCACCTCAATTCCATGTCATCACTACAAGTCAAATTTTCACTCAAGGTTATCATCAATTACGATATAATATTTGTCGCATTTCAGTTCCGCGTTTCAATCGCATCATAACTTTTGTCATGTCAACGCCACAGTGTTTCAGTCTCGCATTTTAATCGTGCCATAACGTTTGTCACACCACTGCATTTGTCGCACCAGTGCATGTTACTGTGTTTCAGTTGTATCATAGTCAGTTGCATTACAAAGTTTGTTGTGTCACCGCGTCATTACGTCCAGTTCTACTATTCAGTCGTGCTTATTAGAAAAAAAAAATGTGGGTTAGTGAACCAACCCACCTAACCCACCAACCCATAGTGGGTTGAGTCGGGTTGTGAAATTTCTGGCTCGCCATAAAGTGAGCTGGGTTGAGCTCGCCTATTTTCAACTCAGCCCGTGTGAGCCGAGTTGGCTCACTTTGACACCCCTACTCTCGGTATGGGTGTCATTGTTTCATTTAAGAACAAAAATGTTCTGATTTCATATTTGATATGATAACATCGTTAAGGTCAATTCTCATTGTCTATTTTTAAACTCTCGTCGTCACAATTTTGTCCTTAATAGGGGTCTCGGTGGATTAAGAGAGGAGGGTGTATATAAACTATCTTTGTCTTCGACTCCTAAACGATGTGAACCATAACATAGTCCCTAAAATTCGAGCGAGCAATATGGACAACTTGGTGGGATGTTTACTAATTTTTTGTGTTTCTGTGTTGTCATCTCTTGACTCGTTTCCTTGGCATGAAAAATGTGTTAGTTCTCCTTATTATGATGTGGGAATGTGTGAGATTCCTCCTCTCGCTTGGGGAAGCCTGTGTGAAGGATCTTGTAATTCTTCCTTGTGTTTTTTGAATTCCTTGATTTCATTATGATGTTTCTTTTTCATCGTCTGTAAATCCTTTTTATTCTTTTTTTTTTATATATAGATTTGTAATATGTGAGCTTTTATACTATTGATAAGTGTGTTTGCGTTCACATCAACGCCTAATGAATTGACCTTATTCTTAGAAATGGAGATGTGCCCTAAGTTCTGCAAGATTGATTTGTAAGGTGAAGTTCACACCACAATTATATATTATAATTCATATTTTTAGTTGACGTGGAATCTTCAATACATCATTTCATGTCAAAGAATGAACATCTCAAGGACATGAAACTAAATATTGAGGGATAGTCTGATTGCAGCCTGATTACGAATGGAGTAATAGATCAATAAACCTTCTTAGAATAAACTTAGATACCATCTTAAAAATGAAGATATATGTCTAAATCAACCTTACAAAATCTAAGATAAAGTTTTTACGTTAATTATATATTATAAGTTTGTCACATCTCTAGTTAATAAGAAATCTCTCATAGTTATTACGAGTTAGAACCATCTAGTTTTACATAGGTAGAATTTTATCAAGATCCTAATATGAACATTAAATGTTTTTGTTGACAAGTGAAAGCTACAAATGATTGCTCAAAGAAATTAAAATCAATAAAAAAAAAATTTACAAGAATATTGATAAGTAGATAATGAAAAATATAACGTGTGTAAAAAATATTAACCTATTTAGGTGATTTTTATCGAGTTATTTTTAAAAATAAATAATATTATTTTAAGATTTCAGTATATTGATTAAGAAAGAGTGTTATGATTTTGTTAATTATTATTGAATAATCAATTTTATTTTAATTTATATATTAATGCATAATATTTATATAATTATTAAATTATAGGAATTATCTAATACACAAATCAATAGTTAAAAAATAATATATATATATATATATATATATATATATATATATATAAAATTTTACATAAAGTTAAAATTATTTAAAAATTTATTAGATCATTTAATTTTAATATATAATATGATGCTTAAAAAATTGTAAAATTTAAAATTGAATTATATAAAATTTATGTATTTGATCATTAGGATACCATAATGAAATTTAAGAGTTGGATTAACTAAATTTTCATGGTACAAAAGTTATTGGAGGTATGATTTAACTAATTTTAATTATAGATGGAGTAAATAAATTCTAATCCAAAAATTCTCCCACGATTCCCTTAATTAATATAATTTTCCATCCCACTAGTGTAGTGTAATCGGTGTGTGTTTCTATCGTCATTTTAAAATTAATTTAATTGAATAATTACTGAAATAATGATCAATATTGTTGAGGAAAGTTGGGCTTTTTTATTTTAATACGGATAAAGTATTATGTCTTAAATTTAAATGATTGGAAAAATACAGAAGTGAGTGTCAGATTCCATTTTAGTCATTATTGGTTGGCTCCATCTCTCTGGTATTTTTGCATTGGTGGTTTCGCTTCTCTGACAGTTGACCTGAGTTCGTTCGATGGAATTCGCGTCTTCTTCATCATCCAAACACCAACGGTGGATACACGACGTGTTCATCAATTTTAGGGGAGAAGACACCCGCAGGAAGTTCGTTTCTCATCTCCACTATGCCTTCTCGAATGCTGGAGTCAACACTTTCTTTGATGAACAGAATCTTGTCAAGGGAATGCAGCTTCAAGAACTCATGCGAGCAGTAGAAGGGTCTCAGATAGCAATTGTTGTTTTCTCCAAAACCTACACTGAATCAACTTGGTGCCTTGAGGAGCTCGAGAAAATCATCAAATGCCACGAAACCCAAGGCCAAAGTGTTCTGCCTGTGTTTTATGACATTGATCCATCCGATGTTCGTCATCAGAAGGGTGAATTTGGAAAAGCGTTGGAAGAAGCTGCACAGAAAAGCTATTCAGGAGAACAGCTGAAGCATGCTCTGTCCAGGTGGGGCCGCGCACTCACCAAAGCTTCAGGTATCACTGGTTGGGATGTCAGAAATTTCAGGTAAACGGATGAATCCTTCAAACTTTCTTTCGTTTGGGACTGAATGAAGTATATGTTAGTCACTGTTTAATTATTGTTATTGAACTTGAAGGAATGAAGCTGAACTAGCGAAGCAAATTGTTAACCGCGTTCAGACATTACTGGACTACGAAGTCCTATCTATTACAGAATTTCCTGTTGGACTAGACTCCCGTGTGCAAGAAGTGATGGGATTCATTGAAAAGCGTTCCACCCAAGTCTGCACGATAGGGATTTGGGGTATGGGGGGATCGGGGAAAACTACCCTTGCCAAAGCCATCTACAATCAGATTCATCGTAGATTCATGGATAAAAGTTTCATTGAGAATATTAGAGAAAATTGTGATAAGCATGGTAGAGGACATGTTCCTTTGCAAGAACAGCTTCTTTCAAATGTCCTAAAAACAAAGGTGGAGATACATAGTGTTGGAATGGGAACAACTATGATCGAGAAAAGACTTACTGGAAAAAGAGCACTCATTGTACTTGATGATGTGGATGAGTATAACCAATTAAAAGCCGCGTGTGGAAATCGTAAATGGATTGGTCAAGGAAGTGTAATAATCGTTACAACCAGAGATGTTGGCCTCCTTACTAGACTTGAAGTTGATTATGTTTATGAGATGGATAAAATGGATGAAAATGAGGCCCTTCAGCTTTTCAGTTGTCATTCTTTTGGAGATGCGAAACCAAGAGAAGACTTTAGAGAACTTGCAACAAATGTTGTTGCTTATTGTGGAGGACTACCTCTGGCTCTTGAAGTGCTTGGTTCTTATTTATCTGACAAGACGTCAAAGAAAGTGTGGGAAGGTGTATTGTCAACACTAGAAAAAATTCCCAATGACCAGGTTCAACGGAAATTAAGAATAAGCTTTGATAGTTTAAGCAATTACATGGAAAAGGATATATTCCTTGATGTATGTTGTTTCTTTATTGGTAAAGACAGAGGTTATGTCACGGAGATACTTAATGGTTGTGGACTATGCGCTGATATTGGAATACCAGTTCTCATAGAACGTAGCCTCATAAAAGTAGAGAAGAAAAACAAACTTGGAATGCATCCTTTGCTACAAGAAATGGGAAGAGAGATAATTCGTGAAAACTCAAGAAAGGAACCTGGGAAGCACAGCCGATTATGGTTTCAAAAGGATGTAGTTGAAGTATTGACAAAGAATACTGTACGTAAATTTTCCATATTTAGTTTTCAATCTTCTTTTGAAAGTGTTTTCTTTTCCATGTGCAATATAAGTGAAGTTAAGCTCAGCTGAGCCAACAAAATAGATTTTTCAATTTCTTTCTCTTTGCTCTTTTCATCACAGGGGACAGAGGCCATTGAGGGATTAGTTCTGAAAATGCATTTAACCAGCATAGATTGTTTCAAAGCTGATTCTTTCGAGAAATTGAAGAGATTGAGACTGTTGCAACTCGACCATGTACAACTTGCTGGAAATTATGGGTACCTTTCTAAGGAACTGAGATGGATCTGTTGGAAAGGGTTTCCTTCAAATTACTTACCAAACAACTTTGATATGGAAGATGTAATTGCGATTGATTTAAAACACAGTCATCTTCGGTTTGTCTGGAAACAACCTCAGGTATTTATAACATGCCATTTTCATGTAAAATTTATAGGTTGATTAAAATAGAAATAGTATTTGTTTCCACTTATTTTCACTTTTTATTTTCTTCTCTAATATTGTCACACCAAAACTGTCTTCTTGTAGGTTTTGGGGTCGCTAAAAGTCCTTAATCTTAGTCACTCCAGGTACTTGATAGAAACGCCTGACTTTTCAACACTACCAAGTCTTGAACAGCTCATTCTCAAAGATTGTCCAAGTTTGCGCAAGGTACACAATTCCATTGGAGATCTCTGCAATATTGTATTGATAAATTTCAAGGATTGTACAGGCCTAAGCAATCTCCCCAGAGAGATATATAAGTTGAAATCTTTGAAAACGTTCATCCTATCTGGTTGTTCAAAGATTGACACATTGGAAGAAGATATAGCCCAGATGGAATCCTTGACAACTCTAATTGCTGAAAATACTGCAGTGAAAAAAGTCCCCTTTTCAATAGTAAGATCGAAATGCATCGGGTATATATCCTTATGCGGTTTTGAAGGACTGGCACGAAATGTTTTTCCTTCTATCATCCAATCTTGGGTGTCACCAACAATGAATCCCCTCTTTCGTATTCGTCCTTTTTGTGGCACATCATGTTCTCTGGTTTCCATGGATACGCAGAATAATATTTTGGGTGATCTTGCACCAATTCTTAGAAGCCTTTCAAATCTTCGAAGTGTTTTGGTACAATGTGAGACAGAGGTTCAACTATCTAAACAAGTAAAAACAATTCTGGTTGAAGATGTCGTAAATTTTAAAGAATTTGGAATTTCAAAGCATCATTTGAGGTCTTATTTGATTGGAATTGGAAGTTACAAACAGAACTGCAATATTCTCAACGATATCATATCTGAGGTTACCTTCTCTTCTCTAGCTTTGCCTTTGTCTACTATACCTGAACTATTTATTTTAGCTATTGATAAAGAGAACATAAAATAACACTTATGATATTTCTAAAAGAAAATTCAATAACCTTTTTTATCATTTAAAAGTCCCCAATTTTAATACTCAAGAAGCCAGGTGATCAGGCTCATGTTTAGCAGCAGCAATTTGATTGTCACTTTCTTCCAGCTACACTTGTTTCATGTTTGTTAGATTCCCATTGATCGTAAAAAAGGTTGTAAGATTTGTATGAAATAAACATAAATGTATTCTAAATTCCTATTAATCTGATGTTGATATATATACAGAAAACCACTGACTAAATTTGTTTAAATTAGTTACCATTGCTATGCTCTGATTTATGCAATAAGTGTTCAGGGATTCAACCTTCAGGTTTGTGTGTACTGAAAAATATTTGTTGAAAGATGGTAGTCTCATATATAAATATATTTCAATATCTTAAAATCTTAGTCCTTTACTCGTGGACTCGGGATATCCTGAGTTTGCCCCAAAATTATATAATTCAATGTTATTTGATTAAAAATGATCATTTTGTAATTTTGGAATGATAAAAAATTATTGTAGGAGTGAGGAGTCCATTTATATATCACGATTGCATAAACTTCTAATCTTGTTTTCTCATGCGACAGGGATTGGCAGCCAATGAAGCTTGTGATGTTTTACTCCCAGGTGACAATTGTCCTTATTGGTTGGCCCATACAGGTGAGGGGCATTCAGTGTATTTCACTGTGCCTGAGGACTGTGGCATGAAAGGAATGGCTTTGTGTATTGTTTATTTATCAAGCCCTGAAATCATGGCAACCGAATGCCTTACTAGTGTCTTAATTGTTAATTACACAAAGTGCACCATACAGATACACAATCAGCACACAGTGATTTCCTTTAATGATCAAGATTGGCAGGATATAATATCTCATCTGCGAGGTGGAGACAAGGTGGAGATTTTTGTGACTTTTGGTCATGAATTGGTGGTAAAAAAAACAGCTGTCTATCTAATGTATGGTGAATCGAATAATATGGGAATTAAGCCGACGCATTGTGAATCAAATGTCTTGGAAAAGAAGCCTGAGCCTGAGCCTGAGCCCGAGCCTGAGCCTGAGCCTGAGCCTGAGCCAGAGCCTGAGCCAAAGGAAAATGCCTTCATAAGATTCTTAACAAAAATTGCAAAGTGTGATTTCTCGTAAGTCATGTCATATCCCTTCTAAAGGAACACTTCAGAATCTCTTTTGTTGTGGAGTTAAACCCTAGTGTCCTTGCATTTAATTCTGTCCATCCTTTCCTTGTTTCTCTGTTGAGTAACTTACAGTTGGGAAATTCATGTTTATTTTCCTTGTTTTTACTCCAACACTTATGCCTCTTTAGTTGTGCTTATTTATGGGAATTGTTCTTTTCTGTTATTATTGTTCTGATTTTCAAAATGTTGTATATAAGGAAGTTGGTCATTCGTTATGATGGCATGCATTATGTAATTTACTTGTTTGCAATATGAAATTGTTTTTCCTTTTTTCTCATGTTGCCAATTCGTTGTTGTTTCAACCCAACAATTAGCATTATTTGTGGGAGCAATCCTAGAATAGTGTGTTGATGGATTCCTTGTATAGAAAGAGAAGTTTCGAGATATAAGTATTTCAAGGTTGAGGGATAGCACACCAATGTGAGTGAGACTCATTCTTGAGGGGAGAATGTTCTGATCAAGTACGAGGAAAGTGTAGGAATGAGTAAGATGAGTAATATATAATTTATAAAGATTTATAAATATATTTTTGTAAAGTTTTAGATTAGAAATAGTGAGGTTGTTTTGTATAATAGATGTATCACCAACCCATAAAAAAATTTCAGGATTTGAGATGATGAATTTGATCATGTGAAAGCAAATTTTTGGATAAATATATAGAGGAATTAATGATACTAAAACTCTTTGTTGTCCAAACACTATATATATACATATATATTATAGAATAATATTATTTTATTTTTATTTAAAAAATTGTAGTAAGTTTATAAAATTAATTGACCTATAAACCTATATACTTATCAGACCTAAACCTATTTACACGGGTCAATTGAGTAAATCAAAATCAAAATTAATTTAATTTAATTTAATTTCTTTAGTTTTATACGACTTTTTTTTTTTTTTTTTTTTTTGCTTTTTCCTGCCAGACTTATTTTTACATAAAATTTTTATGAAATGAAAGCTTTAAGGTTATTGATGTGATTCAGACAATAATAAGCAATTTTAAGATGATGAGTTATGAAAAAAAAATCCCTATATGAAGGATAGGTATAATCTCATCTAAAAAGTATACATCATAGATATATGATGTAATGTTATAAAAAAATTTATATATATATATATATATATATATATATATATATATATATATATATGATTTGGAAAAGTTTTGTTTTATTCCATATTTGTCTTTTTCCTTCTGTTTTGAATTCAAGAATTAGGTCCATTATTCAGAGATGCGAGTTTAATCATCTTCGTATCTAAATTTTATATTTAATGATTACTTTTTACCTTAATTAATAAATTTAAGAAAAGAATTATATGTGATTTTAGATTTTTTTATACTAGAATTTAATATTTATTAACTTTTTATAATATAATTAATAAAGCTAATAAAATGATTAAATTTATATTTTTTTATTAAAATTAAGAATTGATTATATATTTTAAAACAAAGGACAAAAATCAAAAGTGAAAAAGTTACATGAAATAAGAACATATTATGTTAAAAAATGAAAGTTTATGCATAAATTTTGTAATATTGAGATGAGTTGTTATATTATACTGTTAGATTAAAATAAATATAATAAGATGAAAAACAAGTTTCTTATATTTATTTATTTATAGAATAAATAAATATATTTTTTTCTATATATATATATATATATATATATATATATATATTTATTTGTTAGGGAAAAATTATAATTTTTTCCGTATATTAAAAATATTTTTTATTCTTATATATATTTTTTAAAATCTATTTTTGGTTTTTGTACTTCATGATTTAGGTCTTTCGAGGTGTAATTTTAGGTATTTTTTCACATCTTCATTTAATACTTAATGATAATTTTTTACATTAACAAAATTCATAAAAAAGATAAATATAGTTTTAGTATTTTTATATTATGAATCTAATGTTTTTTTTATCATGTTTTTATTATAATAAAGTTGATAAAAAAAATAAATTCATATATATTTTTAAATTTTAAAAATTAATTATAATTTTTAAAACATAAGACCTAAATCAAATTTCACAAATTTGCATGAAAAAGAAACCTATCCTAACTATTATTTAAAAAAAACGAAAGTTTATGTAATAAAAGGTTAAGTGTCAGTAGAATTCAATAAAACTCTAAAGGACGTTACTTAATTTTATTTTTTTAAATGTTTTAAAGTGGGTGTTACTCTAATTTCTTAAAAGGCTAAATGATATCACAACTTTACCATTTTTTAGCCAGGATATGATAGTACAAATTTTATACACAGAAAGACTAAGAGAACATGTTAGAAATGGATAACCAAAACAATTAGTCTGATATCATTTTGTTAAATTCTACTATTTCTCTTCCAAAAAATATCTCTATAGCCATTTCATTAAAAATAGAAAATCTTATAGAATATTCCTATGTTCCTGAAGATATTCAAATCTCTCGAAACATATAGTTCGCTCCAAGTCCTTATAATATTTTTAAAAGACAAAAATCTATTCTTAAGTCTATTTTTAGACTCATATTCACTAAAAGACCCCATGTCAAAGAATATGTCTAATACTCTAGAATGAATCAGTGTTCTTTAGCTTTCACCACAGAAGAACAATACGTAAATATTGAAATTCCCAAAGATCTCATATGGTATTTGGCAAAATGAAGGATATATACATTCACCTTCATTATGGGATTACAAGATTAGTCTTCTCTCTTCATGGAAGATGTGAATTGCATGTTTCAGTCATAGTCTCTCTCCTAGATTTTAACTATCTACACTATGAACATGCTATAATTGGTATTGTATTAACCACTCTCCATGCTGGAAGTGTAGTCTTGACTATTTTTTCTAACTTCAATGTTAGTTTAAAAGATCCTATCATATCTCAAAGATTGAAAGTTCAAATTCAAATCACAAGAGTTGAATAAGTAGTTGATGCATTGTCAGTCACCCTTCATCATCAAATAATCTATAGACTACAAGATCATGTCATAAATCTTGCATTACCCTCATGCAAAGATGGAGCGTGCTATTCGTCTTGACCAATAATCAAGATGAAATATTTTCTATAGTTAAGATCCCTAGAAACATCTCCAACAAGAACTACAAAAGCTTATCCCTATGCATTGGGTCACCAATTATGAATAACTCCACACCAATAAAAAATCGATCCATTTTATTGAAGCCACTTTTAAAAGATTTGTAGACGGTACTATCAAAACTATCTTCAAGAATCCTAAAGATGTCCCAAGTTCAAGTACCTCCATATTTCAATGAATGATGATATCACCTATCACCAAAGAAGGAAAATTCCTATTGCTAGTGTATATCCTGACGGAAAGCCCATCTTTGCAGATAAGATAAATGAGTACCTCATATGAGATGCAAATCCTGATATGTGTGATTTTAACTATGATTGTTGTGATCACACTTGAGATACTAGTGATAAGGATGATGATGACTCATATAAGGATGATGACTTTGGAGGAGGATCATGCAAATCTCATTTCTCTCCTAACATAAGATTTGAACCTGGAAAAGGTCATTGGATTAACCTCCATCACCAAGAGAAACCAAACCCTCTATGGAAACATGAAAGATATGTCGAGATTCTTGAAGAAGAAGTCCTCTTTCTCTCAAGACAAGATAAGTGCAGAATCTTTGTCATGCCACCTTTTGTTACTCCTTCTATTCCATGCATGATGATTATCTCAACATCTTATAAAGAAGATTTTCCTCCTCTTAAAAGGAATACTGATCTTGTATCCAAGACGATAACCAAATCACATGTTGTGTGTCAAGAAGTCAGACTAGATGGGAAAACAAAATCACTGAGCCAAGCTGAGGAAGTATTAAACTGACAAATTAAAAATGCTAGAGCCCAAAACTCCATCCTATAAAGAATTTATCAGAAGATGGATAAAATCTCAACACATCTTGAAGAAAGTGATGAAAAAATCTAGCATCTCAATTCAACTTTGAGAAAATATTATAAACAACTTTCCTCAGAACTCTCACAGTTAGAGGAAGATTGAAAAAAAAAATACTATTTTTGGAGAGTTATTTCACGCTAAAGAAAATGAGATAAGAAGACTTAAGACTCAAATCCAGGAGATGGACAATTATATTGAGAGAAAAGTCAAACAATAAAGGACTGAGAAAGATCTTTACCTATCTTTGTTTACTTCAACTCCTACATATTCTTCTTTCTAGAACTCGTCTCCATTCTTTCAACCACCAACATAATCTTCCTAGTCTTTACCTACAACCACTGCCTTTAAACCATGACCTAAACCAAGAATATTAAATCCAGACAAAGGCAAAGAAAAGAAAATCAGTCCATCTGCTCAAGAATCTACTCATGAAGTTCTACTATCACCAAAAAGACAAACTCATCAAGACCCATTTAATCCCGTCTTCTAAGATTCTCAAGATCCATATTCTCAAATGACCATAGAGTCTTGTTCTTATTATTAAGATATATGTAAATATATTTTGTTATTGTATTTTAGGTAAGTATATATTTAATTTATAATTAGTTTCCTAAATATATACCTGATATTATTAGTTACCTAATTAGTTTTCTAAGATTAAGGCTAGTACATTCTTGTACAGTCTTGTACATTGTATTTATTCTAAGTCAGTGAATGAGATCAATTGAAGAAAATATTCTTTTATGGTATCAGATTTCTAGGGCAATTACGTTTCTTCTTTGTTTCCCTTCGTCTATTTTTTCATTTTGTCACCGTCTTGACAGACAACAAGAGTTATTTCCATCTGGCTCTTGCGGTTTCCAATATACGGAACCATATTTCAATCACTCTTGAGATGGAGAATGTCCAATACTCTACATGGGCGAAACTTTTTAAAATTACCACACATTCTCATAAGGTCCTTCATCACATTATTCCTCCTGCCAATGACAATGAGAAGGTACATGTGACTGAGGATGAAAATGAATTA